CATATGCTCACTAGTGACTGTCTTCAAGATGTATATCCTGGGGTTCTAGTGAAAAACAGTGACCAGTAAAGTTCAACTGGGTCAGTTGTGAGATAATGACTCACTGATGACAATGGCAGATGTGTCGCTCAATTTCGTGAATTAGTCGAAGTTAGACATTAGCACCTTTGGATGCCTTTACAGTGGTTTAGTGGTTAAGCGCTCGCGTGTGACACTGATAAGTCCTGGGTTCGGATTCCGTGAGGCGAGGTTGTGGATGCGCATTACTGAGGAGTCCTACAATAGGACGAAACGAACGTCCAGTGCTTCCAAGTTTTCCATGGTGGTCTAGCTTCAATTGACTCATGATCTCAATTAATGAAATAAATATAAGTCAATAACAATGTAATTAACCATAAGTGATTAGTAGAATGATTCACATGTGAAACAAATCACAAACAAACACCGATAAACAGACTCCTTACTCGGTGGCAAAAAAAGTCAATTGTAACTGAATTTAATGTCTCCATAGTGATGAAAATCATCACAAGTAAATAGTAGTATCTATTAGCACTCATATATAAAAAAATTGTGGCTTTAAAATTAACTTCACGAATGTATATTAGACTTCATTTTTCGGAGGACATAATAATAATCTTAAATTAATATCATCTTGATGAGAAAGGAAATGATAAACAGTAAAAAAAAACTGTTCCACATGATTGCCCACAAAACAATGTGGCCTACTTTTCAATTTTTAATGATGATGTTTGACGAAATAATGATAATATATTTACATAAATGTAAACAACATAAACACACACACACACACAAACAAGTACATTACAATCTTATAATTCATTTATAAAATATAGATGAATGTCATGAATTGAATGAGATTCAGCCATTCTCAGTGGTATACACATGACAACAACAAATGAAAATAGAAATCACAAGTTTCTAAATTCTATCGATCAAATGGATAAAAATATAAACAGATTCGGCTATCCCATCCCCTTTCCTTTGAAAAAGGGTAGGGGTCTTTATAGTTTAAATCACAAGCCGGTCTTAGATATATCACTACTGTAAACCTCTAGACGACAGTTCCGTTCTAGTATGGGACTACAAAGCAGTGCCCATCTATAACTATACATTCAAGAATCGAACCCAGGATCTTTGATCTGAACATTTAATCTCTAGACCACTGAGCCAGCATCCAATAGTGTGAATGTTTAATATTATTCAGCTTACAAAATTGTCCAACCCTCATCCATTGCTTCGGGTAGATAATTGTTTCACACCTGATACAGTTAAACTCCACTGACCAAGGTTTCTTACTAGAACTCTAGCTAAGATTAGTCCGTGATTTAAACTATGAAAATCCTATTAACTTCAAAAATCCACTTATACAAATAATAAGTATCTGTTTGATTTTCTAATTTATATATCATTAATATGAACTGATTGAAGTACTATTTTATAAGCGTTAGATGTTAATGAATGATATAACAGTCATTGAGCAGTGTGCAACTTCTCAGATAAGAAAATGTAAATTGACGGAAAATTTTTGATTATGCGTCTTAATTGACTGTTATCATCAAGACACATGTAATGTGATGAAAGCCAGAAACTATCTCAACAGATTATCTTGATTAGTGTAAAACATGCTAAAAAGATTATGAGTGTCCAAACCCAGGCAATGACGTAAAGCAGACTAGAATTTCATATAATCAACTAGCATATTCAACATAGATTAAGGCTACATCGCTTCTATTATAGAAGTATTTAATGAAATGAAACAAATCACAATCCCAAACTACTTGGTTATTATTTGCTAATGTAAAAAATATCCATAAACTAACATCGTGTTGAAAACATTCCACTTTCAAATTCCTCTAGCTACAGTGAAATCATTAAAAAAGAATCTATTTTTTTTCAGCTATAAACTCTAGGGGTTAAACAAAAACCATTAATTGCATTCTCTTCCATTATTGAAATATGACTGATCGAGATACTATTTACTATCATCACAAGGCAATGAACAATATAATAATAACGAAGTCCAACTTATTATCCACAATAGAAAAAAAATACAAGTAGACCGATAGATAGACAGACAGACGATAAAAGTAGAAGCAGGAAAACAACATGATAAAAACGAGAAAGAGAGTGAGAGAGAAGAAAAAAGAAAGAGGGGGGGGAAATAATCTCCAACGCATAAACAAGAAATGTTATGAGGCGAATATAGAGAGAGTAATAACTCTTCTATTTGACTAGACATTCAAATATTCGATATAACACTAAATATTGTTTTACAGGTTAACAAATGTCAATTATAGAGAAATAGACAAATACTTAATATAATGGATTTTGTGTATATAAGTATAATCTATTCACATATGAATATAATAAGAGACTTAATTATTAGCACATTGAATAAATAAATATATCAACAACAACAACAACAACAACAACAACAACAAAACTGAGTTTAACCAACAATCAGAGAGAATAAAACATATGACGTAATTAGAGTATAAAATGTGTAGATAAATGGATACGATTTTATAAGTCTAACATTTATTGCATAGTTATTGTGATTCCAGAATTCTAAAGATGATAAAGGGAGGGGTATGATTTTAAAAAAATTCTAAAAATAAAAGTGATCAGTTAACTTGTTTTGTTTGGACAAAAAAATGTGTATTTCTGCATTCATTCACACAAACTCTATCAGATATAACCTATTCAATAACAGGTGGTTATCGATATCCATGACAACGTTCGAAACAGTATCATTGGTATTTTCTTCTTTTTTTTTTTGTAAATTATTTACGTTCATTGTTGAAAGTAAAGGTGATTATTGGATAAAATGGGATAACAAAAATGTTTATTAGAAGGAAAAAAATACAAAAAAATAGCTATGCAATAGAATATTCATCAATATTAAAACGAATAGTAGGCGCCCAGTATAAAGAAGTTTATTTAGAGGTGAAAATTATATTTGAAATAATCTCAACAATTGAAATTTGAAAATAATTCCAACATTTTGTTCAGTAAACTTATCTGGACTTATTCAGGGTTATAATCGATTCTTTGAATATCAATTCGTTGAGATTATTTCAAATATAATGATACACGTTTTTCATGCAATTGGTTTCCTTTAGGAATTTGAATAGAGCAAGAACAAACACTGATGCAGAATAGTATGAATTCATATTATTTCGAGGTTTCTCGTCAGCTGCTTACAAACCGAAATTGTGATAGAATTTTTTTACATGGAGATAATGTGAAGCAATTGACATAAATGAGTGTAAATAACTGGATTACAATGATAACTATATATATATGCTAGAAACAGGTCAGAGGTCAAAAGAGGGGGGGTTAATCCAGGGTGGGTGGTGTAATAATTTAGTGAAGTTCATAAATTGTGTGATAATTGTAGAGATTAATGGAATTAAATAATGATAAGGTAGATTACGTAATAATAATTAAATAGAATTTGGAAAGTTAACATAATTTAAGAGGATCAGGTGGTGGAAATGTGTGAATAAAATTTATTTTAAGAATTAGGTAATAGGTGAAACAGTTATCCACCCCAGGCAATGGATGAAGGGTTGCGTAAGCTCATGGGACGATTGAAGTTAGACATTAAAAGCGTTAGAAACCGGCTTAGTTGTCTAGAGGTTAGACGTTCACGTGGGCTCAGATCAGGTGTACGGGCTCGTAGACGCACACTACTGAGGAGTCCCATTCTAAAGCGAAACGGCCTTCCAGTACTTCCAGGTTTTCAGTGATGGTCTACCGCAAAAATGATGTTTCCACCTGTTAACTAGTTGAGGATATTAATCAAACTTTAAATGACTAAAAAACCCATTCGATTTTTCATTTTATCTGTTCTCAAATGTTTACGCTAATTTAAAGATTGTAATTCAATCATTAAATGGCAGATTATCAATACACAGTAAATTAAGTCAACCAAACATTTATACATATGTTACAGATTATTGAGCTTAGATTCTTAAAAAAAATAAAAGTATTTATATATACAATATAACAAAATCTAACTACAAAAAACGAGGATTTGGTTGTCTTTTCTGTCTGTATTTACCATCATCCTCTTTATGATTATCGTCATCATTTCGTGTATATAAATCCAGTGAAGATCATGTGAAAAATATTGAAACGTCTGTAATATTTTTTTCCTCCCCCGCTCTCCCCCCCGTAAAAATCCCATAGACAAAATGTCTCCTTTTTATTTGCGTGCCTATCTATCTGTCTGCCTCGAGACATGATGTAATCAACGTTATCACATACTTGAAAATAACGCTACAATTTAGTGATTAATTTATTGAGTGTACAGTAAAAATAAAAAAATAGACGGAAGTATTTGACATTTAGAAATACAAACATATACTACTGTACACAAACATACTTATCTATCCAAAATATTTTAATGAATGGGGCACGATGAAGGAAGCTGACCTCACATCATTAAGAAAAGGAAATTAATAACTTGTGTGCTTGTTGTCATGACTTGATATCAGTCAACTACCATTGGAGAACAAGAAGCCTTAGATAATTGTTTCCTTCTAGTAAGAAATTCATCAACAATGTGAGACTATAACCCTAAATCAAGGATTGAACTTAGGTCCTCCAGGTAATATGACCAGTGTTTAACGTTTAAAAAAATTCATTTTCGAATCCAAAGATTCATATTGTCGAATTCAATTAATTTGCGATACAATAGAACAGTAAGCGAATATGCAATGTTATCATGAATGAGAGATGCTATAGTTTAATTCGTAGACAGTTTTTGACATGGATCAATAAGTGGAATTTAAATTACACAACATATTTTAGTCATAAGAATCAAATGGCGCTGTATTTGTAATCCAAAATGAAAGATAATAGAAAAACATGACCATCAAAAATATATAACGTGAATGAGGGAGAGGGAGAGAAAAGAAGGAGATCAATCGACAGAAAAACAAATAAACTGAAAATGGCAACAATACACTTACCTGGAATGTATTTAACAAACTGTACAATAAAACGTGAATGTGTTTCAAAATGTTTCATCATTTGACCCCAAATATCTTCAACACAATCGGATGCCTGAATTAATCTACATGGTTGGGGTAAATTACTTCGAATGTTCTAAGGATAGAAACAATAATGAAAACAATATTACAATGGTGGTTGTGTAGAAAAATAATATTTAGAAAATAAAGCAAATAGTAGGACATGTATGAAATATTTTGTTGAATAAATACATGATCGATCAGATCTATATCCTAACGCTGTATTTACTATAATAATAATAATGGTAACAATAATAGTAATAATGATGGTAATAATAATGGGCGAGACTACAATTTATGGACGAATCAATCAGATGTACGATAAGAGGTCTTGCATTTTGGCGCAAAAGTCATTCATCCATTTGGTTAAATGGAATCCCGGTATTATAGCTGATGTCAGTTCGTGATGAAAACCCTAAATCTAATTCCTGACCCAATCAACATCTACAAATCATAATCCTTATTCGTCAAACTGCTTTATAACCCTCACTTAGCCCTAGTAAGTAGGTAGATACTCTCAAGGTCACTTTAGCGTCGCTCAAACGTCGTCCATAAATTATAGTCTCACCATAATAATGATCAGTATTATTTGTATCGAAGCTAAGGTTGGACTTGATAATTTCAAACAAATTGAGCATTGGATAAAGAATTAATTATATTTTTTTGTGATATCCCAATGAGTGGAAAAGTTGTATGACTGACGTTTCATGACTCGATGTAAGTCACTTCTTCAGAGTAAATAAATGATCGAAATTAACACAAATTTAAATAGTCCTATTTAAATTTGAATTTTTAAGGGCTAAACGTCAGAAACACAACTTTGCTACTAGTAGGGATACAACAAAAAACGTATCTATAATATTATCAGAATGTGTTTTGTGGAGATTTTTAGAAATTTGCATAGATTGAAATCATGAGTCAATTGAAGCTAGACCACCATTGAAAACCTGGAAGCACTGGACGGCCGTTTCGTCCTAGTATGAGACTCCTCAGCAGTGCGCATCCACGATCTCGCACCATGCGGGGCTCGAGCCCAGGACCTACTGGCTTCGCGCCAGAGCACTTAACCATTAGACCACTGTGTCGGCATCCAACGGTGTTAATGTCTAACTTCAACCAATCCACGAAGTTGCGCTACCGTACACCATTGTCTTCAGTGAGTTCCTATCTCACAACAGACCTGGTTGAACTCCACTGGTAACGACTTCTCATTAGAACTCCAGAAGTGTCTCCTGAAGTCAGTCACTAGTGAGCAGGTAATTATTATTATCAGAATGTGCTTTGTGGAGATTTTTAGAAATTTGCATAAATAATAATAAGTATTATTCATATAAAGTGGTCTTCAAGTGAAAATTCTTGTGATTATCAACAGTGTACACTAAAAAACGGGGGCAACAATAAGAAAAAAAACTGAACTCTTGGAATATATTTATGAAGTGATGAAGGTTATTTATAAAAATAATGCACTAAAGAAAACAGACTGCTTCATGTAAATTAAGCGTTTTAATAAAGGCAATAAAAAATAGGATAATCACTGGGGTGATAGTTGAAAAACATGAAAAAATATACTTTTTTCTGACCTAATATCGCGTGTTTATTGGATAAAGCAGTATGTATGTATGTATGTGCATATATATATATGTATATATATATATATATATATATATATATATGCGTTGAAAAGAATGAACATTATTCAGATGCCGATTCTTGAACTGTTATCATGTAACTGACGATCACTTAAATATTTATCATCAGGATCGATAAAGAAATAAGAAAAGGAAGCCTGGTGAGATACCTTTTTCTAAGAATTCCATTTTGTACCAAAAATATAATATTGAATGAAGCCTAATAATAATAATGATAATAATAATCTAGTAATACAAATGAAAAACAAAACACAAAAAGTATAAACACACAACATTTCTTCAAAGAAATTAAAACAACTAGAAAGAATTCACTGAACAAAAACAAGACAGAAACAATATTTTTCAACAAACTTGTCAATAATTTCTGTAAACTAGTTTAAAAATCACTACCGGTAAAGTTCAACCAGGTCTGTTGTGAGATATCAACTCATTAAAGACAATGGTGTACGGTGGCGCAACTTCATGGATTGGTTGAGGTTAGACATTAACACCGTTGGATGCTGGCTCAGTGGCCTAGTTGGTTAAGTGCCTGGCTCGAGATTTCATTTTTGGTGAAATTTATATTTGGAAAATAAATTACAAGTGTAATAACTGATTACTAAGATGGATAATGGCTAGTGTTTCATTCTATCAATTGCAGTGTTAAACATCAATGGGAAGATTTAAGTAAACAATACCAAGTGGATAATAATAATAATAATAATAATAATAATAATAATAATAATAATAATAATAATAATATTAATAGAAATAGTAGTAGTAATGTAGAGAACAAGAATATAGGTATGTGACAACTAATCCATGATTTGATACGAGATTACAGAGTTCTTTCGTAAATGGTAGAAACTATACATTAAATACATTATTTGCATATCCTCCATCAATTGTTTCAGACTCTATCTTTTCTTCATTGTTATAACAATTATTTTCTGTTTACATTGCACTTCGTTTCAATTCGATTTTCATAACTTTCTACTGTCAGACATTCCACTTCTGATCGGTTTTACAGACATTAGTAGCATACACTACAATAGTAGTAGTAGTAGTAGTAGTGACTGGTGTCATATTACTATAAATTACTATAATTACTGAAATGATTGAAGATAAATCAAATGAAATGTTTAAATCAAGTGAATAAGAAGAAACAAAAAAGAGTTGAGAAGAAAAACAGGGATTTATTTTATGTTGTTAAATTCTAATTAGCTGTTTACAACCAAGATGAGAATTCTAGAGTAAGTTTTTAGAAGAAAAAAAAACTTAAATTAATGATTTCGACTGAAATGTGTTGTGAAAAGGTGTTAAAATAATAGAGAGAGAGATGCGAATAAATTTAAAAGACCATATACAAATACATATCTTAGGCGGCCTGCTTGAGTATCTGGGCTACCTGTTCCTGCCATCTAGATATTTCAACAAGTTATCTATTTTTGTTTGTTTTGATATATCATTATATTTGTTGATCGCATAACCTATCCTGGCGCATTTCTGAAAAGTGTACAACTTTTCGTTGTCAAAGTTACAAAAATCTCAATAAGAGATAATGTGGTCGCTGGCAATATGCAGCGAAAAGAATGTTCATTTACTGAACTGCTAACACCTAACTGGTGATCACTCAATATTTATCGCCAGGACCGACCAAGAAGAAAGAAACGGAAACTTGTTGAAATACTTTGTGCTGAGAATTCTATATTGTACCGAAAATATAATATTGAATAAAGCTTATAATAATAATACATATCTTACATAGAAGAATATATTATATCATTGATAATAGCAAAAGATTAAAGAGTAAGAAATTAGTGGTTATGTAATGAATAACAGTTAAAATAGTGAGACTATAATTTATGGACAACCTTTAAGCGACGCTAGACTGATCTTGAGAGTGTTCACATAATAACCAGGATCAAATGAGGGTTATAAACTTATGTAAGGAATTATAATTATAATTTACAGTTGATGTTTAAGGTTAAGAATTAGATTTCGGATTTTCATCACAAATTGACATAAACTATAATGCTGAAAACTCTATTTATCCGAATGAATGAGTGAATTTCGCGCCAAAATCCAAGATTCGTTATCTTATACCTGATTGGTTCATTCAAAAAATCATAGTCCTGCCGTTAAAATTTAACATTGTTTTATGTCCAGAAGGGGTTTGTGGAGATTTTAGAAATTTCACAGATTGAAATCATAAATCAGTTGAAACTGGACCACAATGGAAAGCCTAGAAGCACTGGACAGCCGTTTCGTTCTAGTATAGGACTCCTCAACAATGCGCACCCACGATCCCGCACCCACGCGAAATTCGAACCCAGGACCTACTGGTTTCGCGCGCGAGTACTTAACCACTAGAACACTGAGCCGGCATCCAGTGGTGTTAATGTCTAACTTCAACCAATCCACGAAGTTGCACCATCGTACATAATTGTCTTCAGTGAGTTGATATCTCACAACAGATCTGGTTGAACTCCACTGGTAACGGTTTCGCACTAGAACATTTTCAACAGTTGAGATCATGAGTCAATTGAAGCTAGACCACCATGGAAAATCTGGAAGCACTGGCCGGCCGTTTCGTCCTATTGTGGGAGTCCTCAGCATTGCGCATCCAGTCGTGAAATAATAACGTGAAATAGTAACTGATGACAATGGTGGATGTGTTGCTCAATTTCGTGGATTAGTTGAAGTTAGACATTAACACCGTTGGATATCGGCTCGGTGGTCTATTTAATTAAGCGCTTGGAGCAAAACTAATAGGTCCTGGGTTCAAATCTCGCCGAGGAGGGTGGGATAATGGAAGCGCACTGCTGAGGAGTCCCATACTAGGATGAAACGTCCGTCCAGTGCTCTCAGGTTTTCCATGGTGATCTAACTTCAATTGACTCATGACTTCAATTTGTGAAATTGTTTTAATTCATTAAATTTTCATTTTTATAACTAACTTGACTCAAATGATTTTATTCTTACTCATTATTAAACATTGTTGATAAGGTAGTCACAATTTCTTTAAAATTAGAATATATATATATTCTTTCAAATGTATTTCCGAACATTATCCCGTGTGACTTATAAAAAAAGGTAAATGTAAATATTAATTACAATTCAATATTGAACTTTGATCATATGATCCTTTTCAAAAAAAAGCCTTTTAAAAGTTATCTATACAATCAGATGATTTGGTTAGAAAAAAAAGTGCAAATGAATAACTTATGCATTGTAGAAGCGTTAGTAACACTTCTTTAAAAGATTAAATTATATATGTAAAAGCGATATGTTCAAACGATCATTCTTTCATGGTTGTAATACTTAATTTACATAAATAGCGATTCGATTTTACTAAATCCTTCTAATGTTTCATTTATTCTTTTTCAATTTTAATTATTTATCATTATTATGTTCACGTAACTCCACCCGGAACCCCCTTGGAGCTACAGCTGTTCCCGAGTCCGGATAAAGGAGGGGGGTTGGACATTGGGTTAACGACTCGTAGAAAACTGACTCGCTAAAAAAAACGCTAACCAGAAAAAAATATTCAAACCACTTAAACTCTGCCCTGGGAGTTAGAAGGTCTTCATTTAGAAGAACTATGACGCCTCATGGTAAAAGCTGAGTTCCTTCGGAGGTCACGAAGCTGATGTCCCCTCTGACAACCAGAGCAACGATTACTTTAGGTACATGGAATGCTTATACAATGTGGGAGACCTGGAGAGTCATCCAAACTGCTGCAGAAACGAAGATACAACCTGGAGGTGCTCGGAATAAGTGAAACACATCGGACGCAGGTTGGAGAACAACGACTAGCTTCAGGGGGGGCTGTTATACTCTGGCCATGAAGAAGAAAATGATCAATATACACAAGGAGTTGCACTGATTCTACGTCCACCTTTTTTTCTAAATCGTCAAGTAGACAGTTATCCTTTAGATATTTGATTTCATTTTATTATCTCTCGTAAATCTTCGTATATTAAGCAGCTTTCACTGTTACATAATATGACCTATTTTTCAGTGGACTATTTTGTTTGTAAATTAACTATAAATACGATTGTACAGCTTAAGTAAAATATATTGTCGAAAAGAAAACATTCTTCGTTGAATTATCTGAATTCTTTAAGGAAGAATAGTGTTTAGTCTCTTGAATTTATTCACATCTTCCCTATAGTATACTGGTATGTATTCACAATAACATCCAATCACAGTACTTTAGAACTCATTTTGTAATTTTCATTATGAAACAATACAGATCAGAAGCAGATAACGGGAATCTCATGAAACAAAATAAATTTATGTTTTTATGCTCGAATCTTTGTTTTTCTCTTTCTATTAAGCCAAGAGTGAAATGATTGCCAATCAATAACATTGGATAATAACTGCGATACCTATACATAAAGACTAAAACTAAAAAAAACAATGTGTACTACTGAACTCTAGGTTCAGTAGTTGAATGGTATATCACAGTTCTAGAAAGATGAAAGGTTTTAAATTCAGTGTCCTGTTGAGTTTATTGAAATACCCTCTCATGGCCACGTGAATACGACCACTGTCATGGAAGTCCTACTCACTGCCTTCTCGCTGCATCACTGTTGTTTATGAAATTGAGAGGACGGAAACGAATGTCCGGCGCTTTCACCGAGTTGGTGGACACGGAGAGTCCACCTAGAGGAGTTGGAAAACTATTATTCTAAACCAACAGTGCAAATGGACTCCAGTATCCTGAGGGAACAAATAACATATCAACCAATCGTTGGTCACCTGCTACCATTGGACTTCATCTTCTTACGATGCTCCACTGCCATGTGGATTAGACCAGTATCGCAGCCCTCACATAAATAGAATGATTTACGTGACGCATATCTAATTGGTGCCTCCTTGTAACAATGTTTATATGTTTAAATAATAATAATAATAATAATAATAATAATAATACTAATAATAATAATTCAGTACACTAATATAAAGTTTAAGATCAGACTATAGAACAATTATTCAGTTTATTATAAGTTTGATAATATTGAGTTCATAATGGAAATCATTTGTACAATTTTGTTTACAAATGTTTCTTAAAGGACTAAAACAATATTAAAAGATCAAATAAAGTTTGTAACATAAGCTAACCATGTGATCTTTTTTGTACTCAGTTGTAAAATTCCATTAAGAATGTTTTAAAGAAAATATGAACAACAACAACAACAACAACTTGCCTACTCGTTATACCATATATGTGAAAGCCAGTAGTAGTATTAAGTTGTTTAAACTGAAATAGGTAGAGCGAAATTCAAATTTGTGACTAAGAGGCTAAAATTCAAACATTTCAACTATTGGACAACTGACCTACAACAAGTTTAAAATCATATCTACCTACATAGTATATTCAAAATTAGATTAAAACTGAAAACAATAAGAATCCCATCAACGGATTCTAGTAGTTTCCAAAAAGAGGGGAAGAAATTTTGAACGGCCTGATAATCTTTAATGGTAAGGCATATTTGTAAAAATGTCATGTGTGACCACCCTAAAGCAGATGTCTTTTGGGCTCTATGGTTGTGCTTTCAAGGTTGCCAAGACTATTTCTAACCTAGTTTCCTTTACAAGTATTTCAAGAAAGAGCATCCTTAAACGGTGTAGGGAACCGGGAAGTGACAACTGCTCACACATCTTTAATAGCATTGTAGTTAGATTAGTTCATAAGCATTTTAAAACTCTCGTCTATATACTGGCCTATAAACTATATGAAATGGGAAACTATAGGTAGGTAGGTAGGTAGGTAGGTAGATGAGACTGGATTAGAAACAGTAACTAAATTAAAATTAATGAAATCAGTAAAGGGCGAGACTGTAATTTATGAATGAGCCAATCAGAAACAAGATAACAGGTCTTGGGTTTTGGCGCGAAATTCATTCATCCATTTGGCTAGAGAGAGTTTTGGCATTTTGGCTAGTGCCAATTCGTCATGAAAACTATAAATCTAATTCCTAACCCTAACCATCAACCAAAAATCATAATCCTAATTCTTTACACTGTTATCTAACCTTCATTCAGTTATAGTAAGTAGGTGAACATTCCTAAAGTAGCTTTAGCGTCGCTCAAAGGTCGTCCACAAATATAAACGCCAACAATGCCCATTACTCAATCACATCAATCTGATTGTAATACAAATGTAGTATGTACCGAAAAAACTGAATGTTTAAATTTTGTCCGGTAGTTAAAATAATTGATTTTCAATCGTAGTATTCCTTAAATTCAAAACACATCTGTACTCCTTGATTTGTTTGTTTCAACAACTCAAAATCTAATTACTACCTACTATTAATACCATTACACATTATTGGGGAGCGGTGACTTTATGATTGAAGTACTAATCATTTAACGGGAAGATCACATTTTTCTGAATTTTACTCAATCTGAATGTTGGCGATTCAGCGTAGTTTATTAATAGAACCATAGCTTATGCATAAACAGTTTGGTTTACAGTAGAGTGTACTACAAATCTATACTTCTTAACCAATGTATAGTATGCAATATGAGTAAGAGTATAATGAAGGGACGAACTATAAGCAACCATGACGGATTTTTAGCTAATTCTTAGCCAATTTACAAAGTACAGGGATATTTAATTTTGAATTGATTAAACTTTTCTGCAGGTTACTCTGCCTGTAAATCTAAAGATATCATTCTTAGATTATTCTTGGTTAGAATCAGGTATTTAAGGCTATGATTAAAAGTTTAGACTTAAGGTTTTATTATAAACTGACACTAGATATAATGTAGAAATTCTTTGTAGGCTGTTCGGATAAACCAATTTTGAATAAGTCTAATCAGTCCCGCTATAAACTATACTGTCACTGGGTTAAGATTCACTTCAAGATAAAATGTTTAGGGTGTGTGTGTGTGGGGGGGGAAGAATTCCGTGATAGTGTTAATTTGTCGGTTAAATACAATTTTTCGTCTCGATTCTGATTGGCTCATCTGTGTACTTTATTTTAACTAAAAAATGTGCCATTAAAATTTCTAATAAAAATTATAAATCCATAAACAAAATACAATTGATAAATAGTGAAATGAAAAGAATATAGAAACAAAAATGGATATAGGAAATAATACTGACCTTTCTTTCAGTCATCATATATTTGGCAGCAACATGAATGCGTTCAGCAAATTGTTGTACTGTTATAGAAGTCTAAAATGATAAAAATAATAAAATATCATTGAAAGAAAATGATAGAATCATATGTTCTCTCATTAGTACTACTATGTTCATTATTATTATTATTGTTGGGATAGAGAATAAAACTTTTCGATGTAATTTGGTTGAAAGTAATCGATAAGAAAATCTCAATCTAGATTCTATACCGGTTTGCATTAATCTCTCACCTCTAGTGAAATTCAAACCCAGATTACAGAGGCAATGTCATACAATGTCAACGCGTTACACTGTGGTGATATTGAAAATGATGTATACTTTTAAATGTACTCTGCTGGAAGTGATAAAATTTTATGCACTCAATCGAAAGTGTTGTAAAACGAATTATTTTCCAAAATGTTGATCTAAATTAACCAAATAATGGTAATTTATAATGAATGCAACCTTCGATTTTCAAACTATGGTTGTACCATTGAATCAGGCACTATGAAATTCACACTCTAAATGACTAGTTCTCAAGGTCACACAAAAAGTTTTATAAGTAGCCATAATTTTTTCCCGGCATCATCATAGGTTGAAGTAAGAATAAGCTATTCGGCTTCCGATTATCTTCTTAGTCATTAGGAGAGGCGAGAGCTCAAAAGTCATCTAGGGAGTAGGGAGAATAGTTTAATTTCAGTTGAAGAACACATTTCACGTTGCATTCACAAATTATGATAACATATCAATACGTACAGCTAAAGTTGGGTCATAACAAAATGTAATCAGTGAAATGAATGATTACTAAGTCAATATTATGATCTCATAAGTAATATCTAATCAAAGTATCGAATCTGATTAATATTACTAAGCTCAGTTATGCTATAGATAAGATAATAAAATTCTTCAATAGTTTGCCTGAATTGTATACTGTATTGAGGAAAGTGCTAAATACAATATATATAAAGTACTGGTTCCATCAACACATATGAACAAGGAATAAACATAATGAGATTCTGCTATCCTAGTGTGGTTCTACAAGGGTATAAAAAACAAGTTAGAAATCCCATTCTTGAACATCTGATCGACTATATTTATTCTACCGTTCCACAGGTTGATTTCAAGGTTATTTATATAATTCGCCCGAATCTACCTAGGTTTCTGCGTATCCAACTCTTTAAAACAGCATAAGCTCTTAATCATTCATGAACTCAAGCCAGAACTATATGTACATCTTTTCGTTATCGTTACCTTATCCTTTATTATTACTATTATTGCATTTCGTATTTGAAAGTATCCCCTTCTCCCTTTACTTATGTCTCATGTCCTCACCGTTACTTTCATAACTGTTGCTGAAATTACATCATTTAGTTTTGCACATCCATTACCTTTAATTATTGTAATAAAAACATTCTAATCAGCTTATTTTATTCACATTATAATCTATTCGCATATATGCAATCTTTTATTGTTATTGTTCATATTACGTAATCTGGTATTATAATCTTTCCATTCGATTATCACGTTTATTCCCTGTTCTTATGTTCTCACGGGACCAGTACTTATATATACCTATATGTAAATTCGTCAAAAATAGAACCCCTCGCTGAACTTCGCGTTTTTAATATTTTAAACGGTTTACTGATAATATGTTGCATTAATATATCGAGTAAAATGACCACGACTCTTGAAATACACAAGGCTATTTTTATCAATCTAGTAAGATATATGGAATGTGTACTGACAGAAATCCATTAAATATTCTGAAATATCATGTAGTCTACAGAAATAAAGTTAGCAAAGATTTAAAATGGAGTCAATGTAGCATATTTCCAGATGCACAATGGGGTGTCCACTTTCAGAGTAATAAGAACAGTATGCATTCAATCCTACTAACAACTTGCAATTTTTATTACAATAGTAATATTATCTTATATGCCTACATCAACAAGTTAGTTCAATACTATTTCCTGAAAGATTTTTAAGAGTATCGAGTTTTTGGTGGAGTTTTGTTCTCTGAGCTGGATGGTTTGGTCGTGGAGCTTTCATCGTTCTTCTGAACGACATCATCAGCACAAACTTCAGACTTCTATCTGAAGTTTGTGCTGATGATGTCGTTCAGAAGAACGATGAAAGCTCCACGACCAAACCATCCAGCTCAGAGAACAAAACTCCACCAAAATCATCCACCTGAGCTACAAATTCTCTCCACCATCTCAGTATCGAGTTTCCAACATCAGGTCGATACCTTGCAATATTTCAAGGTGATTAATAAACAGACAAAATCCAGTCTTCTGAAGTTTGTTGAAGTCGTTACTATCAAGAGTCAAAATCCTGATTTATGTGTTCAAAAGCAGATGTTTATTAATCTTTCCTTGCCTTGGTGATAAATATTCCTTCAATGTATCATAAAACTTTTTGTACTCATTACACTACTATGTCTTTTTATTTCGTCCGTCTTCCAGATTATTAATCTTGTTTTATTAACGGAGCTTGAATCATTTTATTCCTATCACTTGTTTCTGGCCCTTTGAACTCAAGTCACAATTTCCTTTTACATAAGATACATATTAACAATATTCAATATATTCAATTTATTTACCCCCTTGTTATACTATACGAATATGTCTTCAATATAACTTCCAACCAAACCCTTTCATGTAAGTAATTTGAAACCTATTTTATGTAATGATGATTTTTAAATATCACAGGTTGTAAGCAGCTGATGAGAATTAGACGAAATAAAATGAACCCATGCTATTCTACTAGAATCTTTGTTCTTGCTCATTTCAAAATGATAAAGGGAACTATTATTTTGATGTTTAAACAACTTAATTTTTTTTTATAAATTTAATGTTTCAAGCAAAGTGACTAAATAAATCGATAATGAAGTTAACCTCTGGCCAAATTCCCCTTCTTCAAATGACAATAAAACGTTACTACTTTCAACAAACTATTATTATTCATAAAGTATACAAAATAGATACTACTTAAATATTTAAAAAGTAAATGTAGATAACAGTAGAATAAATAAACTCACCGGTCGAATACCATTCTTTAAACGTGGACTAATTTCTTTATTATTTATAACTGGTACAGTAATCGATGGTAATGTAGTATTTACAATGGAATGATTAACAGGGAAATTATTCACTGTTGATGACAATAATAATGATGAGGAGGAGGATAATGTTGATGATGATGATGGATAATCCATATTATTAATCGGTTGAGCATTACGATCTAATGATGTTGAATACATTGAAAGATTTTCAATAATTCTACCAAAATTACCCATTATTGGTGGTGATGAAGATGATGAGGATAATGATGATGGTGTAGTTGATGTATAACAATTATTTGGTAATTCAGGCAATGAATTAGAAATGCTGACACGATTTAAATTTGGATAAATTTCATCAGATAATCCACGTACACGACTATTGGATAGAACTAGACCAGCAGCGGTAGCAGCTGCTGCTGCTGCAACAGCCGCCGCTTGCATAGCAGCTATTGTCGACGGATGTGTAACATCAGATAATGATGATGCTACTGATGATGTTGATGATGATGATAATGATGGATGTAAGGAACGTAATGTATCATTTGATTCATATTTACCAATTTTCAATATATTTTCATTCATATGACCACTAGTAGTATTAGTATTAGTATCATATGGATTAATATTATAAGAATTTGACAAAAATGATCTACCAGAATGTTGATGATCTAAAACAGTTTCATGTAGACCTAATTTGAAACGTTGCTTTCCATGTGAATAAGAATTATAACATGAAAGAATAATTGATATATTATTTGAAAATTAATTTTTTTAAAAACATTAGTAGTAGTATGAATGTACATAAATGAATAAATCATAAAAATCGAATCTTCACAGTCTACAATATTTAGTGTTCAGCAATATCAAACTGAAGTAGAATGAATACTATGAATATAATAGATTGATCAATTTACTCTAACCTTAACCAATGTAACACAGTTATCTCATAGGTATTGATCACATCTCCGAACTCTAATCTTTCCGAATACTGCTTACACTCTTACTACCTCTACCACTATGGGATTTGAATCGACAACTGCATCTCTGTGCTAATGTGGTATGGCAACTCGAACTGATATACGTACGTACGAAGTTCTACGTTGTTACTGACTGACTGATCATTCATTTACAGTTTGATTAAAACTGACAAGTAACAATGTTCTGTATAACCGATTAATTTACACATTATCTTCATTGGAAGTGGATAATGCATAAACATGAACAAGCATATATAACTGTTATATTTCACAGTGAGCATAACACAAATTAGTTACATTATAGTCAATGGGAAAAATCAACTTTTTACTCAATGCAAAATTATAGATTTCCATCGTAAAATATGAAAACCATACATTTTTTATGATTCCTTCCATTCTGTTGTTATTCTAATTGTACTCTTCAATTCAACTATTTATTTGGTAGATATTTCACTTTTGATTGGTGCTAAATACTACTTATATTTGTCAGCATAAGTAGCATACACCACAACTTGATTAAAATATAACATGGTAAGTGAAAAATACATTTTTTCTACTACCAGCTAATTACTAATAACAACATCTATCTGGGTTTTTTTCTTAGAATAATTGAAGCATAAATTCTTTCAGATCTCTTCAAAATATATCCTTGGTATAACTTTATTTTATTTTTTGTTTAGAATACATTTTGGAACATAAAGTACTTATATTATTTGGAATGTACAATGTAATGAATATCAAATTTGTCAGTCAGTCAGCTACAACGTACGACCAGGCACATAAGTCCATCGGTCCAAGTTGCCATACCTCATTAACACAATAAGATGAACACCAGATTCATAAAAGTAGTTAATTCAGAGGTAGTAATATATAAAAGAAAGGTTGCAATAAGGATATAGTACAGGAAGAAGGAATTAGTTCGTAGAAAGAAAGATATGAAGCGATTTTAATCTCATAGTTTAAGGGAAGACAGAGAGTGTATACACCGACGCCATTGTGATCGATTCTGAGCCATGTCATCAAGAGTCTCCAACCATTGGTTACGGTAGTCATGCGGACCTCAACCAAGTAGTCTGCATCTACCAACATGGCTCAGACTAGAAGTTAGTGACTTCAAGCACTGATGCCACGTTTTGGTTTGGCCGCCCCTAACTTTCTTCCAACCATCCCGAACGCCGGTCAGCATTGCACGTCGCGGTAATCGGTGTTCAGGCATACGTAACACGTGGCCCAACCATCTCAGTCGATGAAGATTTACAACCTCATCGACTGATTTACCATCAGTCCCTAATACCCTGTGTCTATCAAATTTGTAATCAAATATAATTTGATATGAGATCAGGAATCGATTAATATTAAACTACAATAGAAGATCTGGAAGAACTGGATGACCGTTTCGTCCTAAGATGGGACTCCACAGAGGAGCGCATTCAATCAGAAATTCAACAACTTCCACAACCTCATAGTGATAATTTGATATGTTGACTTGTCAAAGAATAAATTAGACTTTGTATTCAATTCATTTATATTTTATGAATTATGTATTCACTTGACAAAGAAGTTTATCAATAATTTCTTCGAAAATTTCTTTCAGAATTCAGTGAAAGAAAAACTTTTGTATGAACGAAGAATATTCTTTTCAATAATTTTTCATCAGGTTCTACAATTATCTCATATCCAAATTAATAATCTGTAAGATTCGTCAGATTTAAAGCAAAGTAAATCCTTTGGAAATTGTAATAAGTGAATCAAGAATTGTTGTTTGTCAAATCAAATCAAATGGTTAATGTTGAAGCTGACTAATATAAATTGCTAACTTGAATCAATTTATAAGTGAAATAAAATTGTGCGATAAATGATCGTAAAAAAATATTGTCAACATGGGATGAGAGGAAAATCTGGCCTATTTTATGGATTATTAATTTGGATATGATAATTGCAGAACCTGATGAGAAATTATTGAAAAGAATATTCTTCGTTCATATAATTGAGTTTTACTATAATGGGAATTTTTCAGAGAAAAACTTTTATTAATTTATTTGAACACGGAAATATTGGTACAAAGAGGTACCGAATACATATGCGCCACACAAGTCATTTGATTTGTGTGTGGGCTAAGATACTGCTCGGGCGCCCAGACCGAAGAAGGAGGTTTTCTTAGGGGGTCACACTCGGAGTCTTTGAACTAAAGGTCCAATGGTAGCCGGTGACCAACGATTAGTTCATATGCCATTTGTTCCTTTAGGACACTGGAGTCCATGTGCACCATTGGTTTGGAATGAGGGTTTTCCAACCCCTCTAGGTGAACTCTCCGTGTCCATCAAACCAGTTAAAGAGATGGACATTCGTTTTCGTCCTCTCTATTTCGTAAACAACAGTAATGCAGCGAGAAGGCAGTGAGTAGGACTTCCGTGACAGTGGTTGTATTCACGTGGCCATGTGTGAGCGTTTTGACAGAGCTGAATCTCCCCACCTTCGGCCGTTTCAAGGCATTTGGGGACAAATGTAGAAAATTATTTGAATAATTAGACTAGTAAATTCATAATGCTTATTTGATTATAATTCGACAATAGTAAAATTCTAATTCATTTTCGCATTGCATTTATCAATTGCAGTATTGAATATCAGTGATAAGATTTAAACGAACAATAGGAAAATGAATAAAAACCTCACTCCATTGCACAAGCTAGTGGCTATGTAGGCTCAGTAGCTAAGTGGATAACGCGATCGAGTTGGAAGCAAACGATACTGGGTTCGTGTCCGGGGTAAAAATCAACTCTGGGATGCAGGTATATCCAGCTGATGTGTCCCAGAAAAAAAGAAACTCGCATCCCGGATTCTACTGCTAGCCACTATCCATCATTGCTTATAATAATAAAATTCGCTAAAAAACAATCTTATCAATACTTTTTCTATTTTTCATAGTTTAACCTTCACAGTACAGCTTTTTCTATACGTTTTCTATACGACTTTAAAAGGATAGATAGTTAGTGTTCGGAGCGTTCTCAAGAAAAAAATGTATCAGTCTTCTTATGTTTCACTTTGTGACACACATCAGGTGTGAGGAACTAGTGTAATCATATAATTACACAAATCGAAGTATCTGCTACCTATAACATGTAGGTGACTATTATTTTAATTGTTATATCAGGACATTTAAGTCTTCATAAACAAATGTAAATAATAATCCTTTTATCCAATACCTAATATATAGGTTTTCGTTATCTAACACAGGTAATTTAAAAACAATCAGCACAAAAGTGTTGTGTTACAAATTGTTTTTGGTGCCCAGTTGGGTTGAATATTTTGTGTCTACTACATATTGCAGGTTCGATTTCACAGATGACTTATGTTATCCTTTGTTTAACCATTCTACTGAATACTCCAGAATACAATGTAAAAATTGCCTCGATAAACAACCTACAAATCATGATCCACTAGAACAACTAAACACAACACACACTAAGTCTCAAATTTATTAGTTTGACATTATTAACACATATTTTGATTCATAATCAGAGAAAACAGTCCATTCATCAATTATCTTATTCTTACCTTTGAAAAATTAGTTGTATTCACTGGAACACGTCGGTTTACTTGATTTATACTTGAATTATTATTATTATTATTATTATTATTATTATTATTACGATCATTGATTCCAAAACATTCATTTAAATTTGATGATACTGTATATGGATCTAATAAAGCGGAATTAGTTGATGATGATGATGATTGAGATGCAGCCATAACAACAGCTACAGCTGCCGCTGCTGCTGCAAACCACGGTGTAGTAGTTGTTGATGTTGGTTCAGTCTCAGTTAATCCAGTTATATCAACAACATTACGTCCACCATTGAGAAATCCTAATGAATTTGAATCTAAACAATTATTGGCATTTTGATTATTATTATTATTTGAACTTATTAGTTGATTATTAGTTTGTTCATTTGGTAAACTCCGACTAGATTTAATATATCGTTGTTTTGGTAACCATACTTGATTATTATTATTATTGTTATTGTTATTATTGTCACTAACATCAGCAGATAATTGATTATTGAAGTCAGAATAGTCTGATATCACAGATGAACGTGGACATAGTGTAGTAGTTAATGTCGATGATAATGTTGGTGATGATGATAATGAAGATGAAAGATAAGACAATGAATAGGATTCATCAGGTAAATGTCTTCCAGTTGTTAAATTTAATTGTGTAGGTCGTAAATAGGATTGATTTAAATGAGTAGTTACCGCATGAGAATCTTTTGATTGAGTTTCAACAATAACTGATGATCTATCCGTTAATGGATAACTGGTAAAAAATATATAAAAGAAACATATATTTCTTTTAATGGATTATAAAAAGTATAGCGATAAATAAAAGCAGCCTTGAAGTTCAGGCGCGAAATTTAGTCTGTCCATAATAAATGCCCTGGTACGGCCGAGAGTGGGAAGAGTCAGCTCTCCCTCTCCAAATGCTCTCACATGGCCACGTGAATACAATCACTGCCATGGAAGTCCTACTCACAGCCTTCTCGCTATATTACTGGTGTTTACGAAATTGAAAGGATGAAAAGCGAATGACCAGTGCTTTCACCGGCTTGGTGGATATAGAGGATCCACCTAGGAGAGTTGGAAAACACTGAGCCCAAACCAACGATGCATATAGGCTCGAGGATCATAAGGAAACGAATGGCGTACGAATCTACTGTTGGTCACAGGCTAACATGGGATTGAATCTCCTGACGTTGCTTCATTGTCTTGTGGATCAAACCTTCAGGTTGAAGGCTCTGGGTGTGCCCTCCTAAGAAAACCACTTGATTCGGTCTAGGCCCCCAGGCAGCATCCTATCCCTCACATTAACCGAATGATTTATGCGGTGCATATGTATCCGGTGCTCCTTTTTACCAATATGCATTTTTTTTAAATAAATGAATAAATAATATTCAAGAATAAAGTCTGAAATGAGAACATTCGAAATGTTTGCTAACATGGGAAAGAAAAGTTAAAATTGTAATAATAGACTAATGTTATCAGATTATATAAAAATGGGATGTTTTAAATATTCTTATCGAGTTAATCACTGAAAACGTTCAACACATATAAATCGACCAGTCATACTTACAATGTAAAATTGTAACATAAACAAACAAACAACCCACTTAGTGTTGCTTTACTTGCATCTTCCCATTGTTATTTAGGATTGTAATTGAATCAGTCTTTTATTGGCATATGTGCATCCTGTACGGCTTGCCTCGATATATAGCCTTAAGTTAAAAACTTTCTAAGCAAAGACGGATAGTGGCTAGCAGTGAGAATCCAGAACGCGCTTTGCAGGTACATCCAGCTGACGAGTCTCAAATAGGACGAAACACTCAACCTGGATTCCATTGCTAGCCACTAATCATATTTACTTAAACAAACAATCATTTATAATGAACTTTTTATGATCTATACACCACACACATATCACATGATAAAGTAATAATATTAGCGAAATGACAAAAAAAAGAATGTGATTATATTTTCTTACAATTACATAATTATGTAACATGAAATTACTATACAATTCATGTAATGAAATGTGACATTTATGTCACGTTTTACTTTTTGAGTTGTCTTAGTAGTCTGACTTAAAAACCAACAAAAAAGAAAGAATTTTTTTTGATATTTCAATTTAAAAAAAAGGATACTTTTTACAGTAAAATGAAATCTTTTAAAAGTTAATTCTAAACAGATATTTCTATACAAACTTTATACATACTTTATATGTTATGGTATACTATTCTGTTATATACGAAAATGCACATTCCCCCCTCTCTCCATATATATATATATATATATATATATATATATATATATATATATATATATATATATATATATATATATATATAGAAACCACATTCTTAGACAAATAGTTACCTACCACTTATATATCATACTCACAAAAATGATATTATGACTAATACAATAGTTAATGAATACACCACCCCAATTAATTAATTAAATGGTATACTGGAAATAATTACAGAATGTATACCAATTTACAGATATAATCAAATTGTTTTAAAAGAGTAATTATTCCATAAATTTAAAATAACAGTTGAAAACTAGGTATAGTTAATAAAAGGACTAGAACATCCTGTTGAAGTAACTGTTTTTAAGTTTATATAACAATTAAGTGTTATGTCCCGACAAGAATAAAGGAATGGTAACTTTTAGGATCCAGTTATGGACGAATACTATACGTCAACTTTTATTGTATAATCGTTAAATAACCAAACTGCCCATATTAATGTCCCTCTTATCATAAGCTTTATTTTGACCGATGAACTATTATTATACGATATACCATTCTCAAATTATGCCCTGTCTATTAATTACCACCTGCCACATTGACAGCTACATTTGGCTAAATCTTGTACAAATGTTGTTTCCTATTTTATTGGTACTATGTGGTCTGTTTTGGTAGGTATATAAACCTATTATGTTTGAAATAAACAATACACGTTGCAGAGGCTGAGATTGGTGTTCTGGACTTAACAAACTGGGCTAGGCGGGAAGCAGGACCGGTAAGTACTATAGACTGCTCGTACGGGTTTTATACGTCATTGATCCGATCGATGATTCACTACTCCCTAATTGGCGGTATTGTTACCTATACATTAGCAGGATACGCAGATCACAAGTTATAACACTAAGAATAAAACATTTTGGAAGAGAGAGAATAAGAGTTCAAGGATTTGCACCTCATATATTTTTTAATGTTCAATATGTATGAAATATCAAGACATATACGATATTCTTCCATTTAGTTAATGGGTGAGTGCTGTATAGGATAGCAGAATTTTGACTGAGAATTTCAGTTCAAACTATAAAGTTAATTATTTCATCTGACAATTTTTTTTAATATTCAACATGTTTAGATAAATTTAGATGCTTGAAATGAAATCACTACTGATAATTACGATTCTATATGTACCGATCACCCAATAAATGAGGAAAAATACTAATATACCGTATATTTAATATTGAAGAAGGATGAATATTCTCATAATGTTTGTGAAAAAAACTTAATATTCATTCGTCTTCTTCAAGGAACAATTTCATCCCTATGTATGCTAACCTTAACCAATGTACGCATGTGTCAAGTTCTACGTTTCATTTAATTGACTAATTAATTGATCAAAACAGAATTTACTTATTAAACTAAAATCAAGCTATACTCTCTTAATAATCCGAATTATCAATGAAGATTACACCGATTGATAGTCCACAGCTACGACGTTATTTCATCGTCGAGATATTGTCATATAGATATTTAGTGATTGAAAATATTCATCTATATTTTGTCTTAGTGGACATTGATCAGTGAGTTAAACTGTAATCCTGAAAGGTGTAATATTTTGTATAAAATTTAAATCCATGTCATTCAGTGTTACATTTAGAAAATTTACTACTGAGCTATTCATTCCCACGACTGGTGGACTGACTAACTTATGTAGGATTGTGATTTTTACATTGACACGGATGTATAAATGGATAGAATGGATAGAATTTTATTGATCAAGTTGTTAACTTTTTCATATACAATGTTCTACATGATAGAAAAAAGACAGTAAGTGAAGTTGACAATTAGTATCCTCACCTACCCGGGGTTGCTCAAACTGAAGCAGGTGTCGTAGTAAAAGTCATATGGTTTGAGGAATAATCCTTTTTTCTTTTCCCATGAAATAGTGACCTGTGAAAATTCCAATTGGAAGCTCATGTCTTTATAAATCAGCCAAGCCTTACGACTTAAGCTTACTTAATTACTTACGCCCATTACTCCCAATCGAACATAGGCCGCCGACCAGCATTCTCCATCCCACTCTGTCCTGGGCCTTCTAGTTCCATCAAATTCTTATTCATTTTCCTCATGTCTATTTCCATTTCCCGGCGTAATGTGTTCTTTGGTCTTCCTCTTTTTCTTTGGCCTTGAGGATTCCATGTGAGGGCTTGTCTTGTGATGCACTTGGGTGCTTTCCTTAATATGTGTCCTATCCACTTCCAGCGCTTCTTCCTGATTTCTTCCTCCACTCGAATCTGATATGTTCTCTCATACAGTAGGTTGTTGCTAATAGTATCTGGACAACGGATCCGAAGTATTTTACGTAGACAACTGTTAATGAACACTTGTATCATCTGGATGATGGCGTTCGTAATTGTCCATGTTTCCGCCCCATACAGTGGAACTGTCTTGACATTTGTATTGAAAATTCTGACCTCGGTGATGGCTTGTGCACAGTTGTTTTGAGTTCCAGATGTTCCTCATTTGTAAATATGCTGCTCTTGCTTTTCCGATCCGCGCCTGCACATCTGCATCAGATCCACCGTGTTCATCTATGATGCTGCCCAAATATGTAAAGGATTTTACATCTTCCAAATTTTCTACGTCAATTGTGATTCGATTTGTGCATGCTGTGTTGTATCGGAGAATCCTGCTTTCCCTTTGTGTGTATTGAGACCTACTGCTGTTGAGGCTGGTACTACACTGGTCTTCTTCTTCTGCATTCGTTGTTACGTTTGCGATAAAAGAGCTAGATTATCTACGAAGTCTAGATCGTCCAGCTGCACCCTAGATGTCCACTGTATCCCGTGCTTCCCTTCAGATGTTGAGGTCTTCATGATCCAGTCGATCACCAGGAGAAAGAGAAAAGGTGAGAATAAGCAAACTTATCTGACACCGGTCTTCACTTCGATTTGTAAGTTTAGTCCATCTTACGACTTATGTGGAACTATGAAATATCAATTTTAATGAATTTTGCCAATAATTCAAAAGGAAATAAGATCCATACGATACTTTTGTAAGATATCATCAATATAAGTACTAATCAATATCTGTTATTTTATAATCACATATCATTCAATATTAAGTGTTAAATGTTACAAGAGAAACAACCTTCAACTAATAAAGTGCGTCAATTCAATGAACAAAACACATTAATTACATAACCTTGTCAAAATAAAGATCGGTCATTATCATTACCAAAAAAAAAATATATCACATGATCGTGATAACAGAAACTGACAAGAAATTAATGTAATCTGGTTACATAATTTACACTTAATATCTTTAAGAGATAATGGCACTATCTTCAGGTTATCTAAAAAAAAATTTAGTAGTTGAGTTCAGGAATTCAGTAGACTTATTAATAGTATAACATTAAACTATCAATTGAAATAAAAACAACAATTAAACAAACAAACCATTTGTATACTGTAGAAGAAAAACATTTCACAATTTCACAAAACTCACTTTCTAAATTGTAATTGTTCAAGTACAGTGGAACAATTCTCATTATTATTAGTGTTTATATTATGTTCATTATTATTTGGCAAGTTAATTTGATTTGATAAATGCCTTGATTGATTAATAAATGAGAAATTATCCACTGATATATTATGAATTTTCCCACTATCTACAAGTTTCTCATATCTATTATTATTATTATTTCTACAACTATTACTGATATCCAAATCATTATTAACAGAACCGATAACATTATGGATATTTTCTTCATTCAAACTTGTCAAGTCCGCGTTACGACGGTTTTGTTGTTGATGACGATGATGTACAGCTTGGTGTACAGGATGATGATATTGTTGTTGATGTCTATGACTGTAACGTTGATTTAAATGTTCATTATCATTAGAACCACTAGTAGAATTGCCATTTCCAACGTCTTCAACATTGTCATTAACATCATCAATATCATTATGATCGCAGCCTTCATCATCAACGTCATCATCATCATCATGTATGTGTACTGAATTAATAGGTGTTAATTTTGAAGATGTAATACTATTATCAGAGATCTCTAAGTTAACATCTATTTCAGACGGTATTGTTTTACGTCGTTTAGTAATATTTCTTGAAGGATCAATTAAAAGATAATCACTACCATGACTAGCACCATTGCAAGTAGAAGAAGGTAAAATTGAATCCGCACGGCCAGAGAGAAGGACGACACCATTAGCAATATTATTATTGCTACCACTCATACCAATATTATTGTTATTAAAACAATTGTTCTGAGAAATAGATGATTGTACAGGATGATGAGGCGGCGGTGGTGGTGGAGGATAATGATGAAAAGGACGTGACTGAGAATTAAGATATTGTGGACGTGTATCTGTCTTATACTTTATATGACTTTTAATCCCTGACGATGGTGATGTAGATGAAGACGGTGATAAAGATAATAAAGATCCATTTTTCAACGAATCACCACTATTTTGTAACTCGTTATAATTATGATTACTGTGTTCAATGAAATGATTTACTGTAGATGTTGATGTTAAAGGAATACTTGATGGAACTAAAGATACTCCAATTGTTGATATTATTGTTGTTGTTGTTGTTGTCGTTGTTGTTGTTATGGAGACGGTGGTCGTATTGGCGAGAGTAGTGTTATTAATTGAATCCAAATGATCAAGATTAGACATCATACGTTTAAATGAAGGCCAACTAGATGATGGATAATTTGATTGACCTAATACTGATCTACAATGTTCTTCAGCAATTGACAATAAATCATGTTCATTAAGATTATTATTCTTACTGTTGTTATGATTATTATCATCATGATTAGCAGTAATATTATTATTTTTATTACCATTATTGCTGATGTTACAACTTAGATTTGTAGTACCACTACTAGTACTACTATGACTAACTGAATTACGTCGGTTAGATTCATGTTTATTTGATGAACTTGAAGATGGATTCATAGTTGTGGTTGCTTCACAATCATTAGAATTAGTTAATTGGGAAATTTCTCGAGCACAATAATATTTAATTGCATTAGGTTGTCGACCAATACGACTTCCTGTAATTAAGAAATAACACAGGAAAATCTAGTCAACATATTCAGCGTAAATAAATAGGGGAATAGATTGAAATACATTTGTAGGTGATATTCGTCACGAATTAACATCAGTTGTGGATAACCATAGGGACCGAAACCACAAAAAAACTATAACAAAAATAATATAGTGTGTTTGCTAATGACTTGCTTCAGGGATATAGGTGAAAATTCGTGACCAATAGAGTTTAGATATTACAATATTGAAAGATGGTTATGCAATATCAAAAGATGGTTAAAGTTCGAAATGTAAATCGTTTGATGCGAACTCAATGATCTAAAAGTTGAATATTTGTCTCGATATTTGAAGTTTATTATTTATTTTAACACATAAATATTGGTACAAGAGAGCGCCAATATATATGCGCCACACAAAACAATGTAACTTCGAAGAGATAGAAAAAAAAAAACCAAGGAGCACAAAAGAGAACGATAACGAAGAGATTGGTGTAATTTAGTGTGGTCGTAACAGTGGAACGGAAAAGAACAATCAGAAGAAATCTTTCAAGTAAGGGAGACACAACCACTTTTTATGAAGAAAGTAAAAGAAGGTTACAGCAGGATCGCCACTGGCTTCTATTCTGAGCCATATCTGATAACGTCTCTAGCCACTGTGTAGCACTATCTCTCAGACCCCAACCAGGGAGTCGTGAAGGACCAACACAAGCCAGTCCTTTGCAGCTTTCTTTCATACCACGACACCATGTCATGCACTGACCACCTCTCCGCTTTTTCCAACCAGTCCCAGAGTCGGCAAATAATGCACGACGTGGAATTCTCTGGGACGACATTCGTAGAACATGTCCAAGCCACCGAAGTCGGTGTTTCAAGATGGTGACACCAATTGAATTATCATCTCTGTGCCCAAACACATGATGCCGAACCTCTGCATTACTGACATGGTGTTGCCACTGAATATCAGCAATCCTTCGGAGACAGCGATGATCGAACACAGAGAGTCGTCTAACGTCCTCAACTCGGAGAGGCCAGGTTTCACAAGCATAGAGCAAAACTGCTCTCACCGACGCGTTGTAGATCCGACCTTTTACAGCCAGACTAACATCACGAAGGCGCCAAAGATGGCCCAGATTGGCATAAGCCACTCTGGCTTTCACTATACGTGCATTGATCTCATCACTCACACCCCCACCAGCACTTATGCAACTACCCAGATACACGAACTTCTCGACTACGTCTATCTGCTCACCATCCAGGGTGAGTACAGGATTGGAATCCTGCCAGTCTTGTAGAAGTACTTTGCACTTCGAAGGTGCAAAACACATACCATACCTACGGACACTGATTGCCAACTGATTAAGTGCGGATTGCATGCCTTGGGCGATATTTGAAGATCCTGGGTTCAACCGCTAGCGAAATAATAGTGTGTACCGTTGAGGAGTTCCATACAATAGAAAGGAACAACTATCGAATACTTCATGATATTCATTGCTTGCCTTATCTACGGTTAGTCCGTAATGTAAACCACAAAATAATCCAATGATTGATTACTCATTCAAAATCCCGTCTATGCAGTACACAAAATAAAATCGAATAATTCAATTATACACCTATTACTAAGTTGGTTCAATGTTTAACATAATTTCTATTAATAACCTTGTTGTTTACTATAACAATGGACTACAAAAAAGCCAACATGTACATTGAATAGCATATATATATATACATACGTACACTATACAATGATCAAGTATCAGAATACGAAAACAACAATAACAGTTAATAAGAACTTAAAAAGCTGTCCGATAACCCGACCGTTATTGATTGACTTAGTTAAAAGTTCCAATAACAATAATAATAACAAACTTCACTTGATTCCTTTATTAGGAACATATGAAAGTTAGAATACAAAAATAAAACAACAACACCAATACTACTTACTACTATTACTACTACTAATAATAATTAAAGAATGTAAACTAACTTAAGAATGCCAAAATATACGTGTAAGTAAGCATGTATACGTCAAATTTACTAAATGTGTTTGTATTTCACAATGAATTATATATACATATATGCTATAATATACTTTGAAATTATTAACCTCAATAAAAAACAGTCATAATATTAACCAATATATACAAAAGTTTCCATATTCTAGTTTAAAAACACATAATACTCGGTCAAGGTCAGTTTTAAAAATAAGTAATACACAAATGTTCCATTGAAATGAAGAAGAAGAAGAAGAAAAAAAAAACGGTAAACACAATAAACGGAAAAAAATAAATAAATAAGAAAAGCAGTTCAGAATAAACACATAGAAATTACTACTGAAGATGTATCTGTTAACATCCATTTACTGAAATGGAAGAGAAGGGATTAATAATCCAAGATTATAGATAAAAAGGTAGTCTCAGTATGATACATAAATAGCAGTAGTAGGTTGATTTAGTTCATGATAAAATTGTTAACTATGTTGACAATAAACATTAACTTGAAGGTAGTAAAAGAAGAAATTCATTTACCAAAAAACCATGAGCTAGTAGCTATCTGGACTTAGTAGCGATGGCGTTTGAAGAGCAGTGAATATCAACTCCGGGATGCATGTATATCCAATCGATGAGTTCCAAATAGGACAAAACGTGCGCTTTCTTCCAACCTACTCCTATACCACTGAACATCGCACGTCGAGGCAGTCGGTCGTTGGGCATACGTAACACGTGTCTCAGCCATCTCAACTGATGAAGTTTCACTAATTCGTCAATGGATTTACCATCCTTACCTAGTACCCGTTTTTTAACAACTGCGTTACTTACTCGATGCTAAAGGTAATATCTAGGCAATCAGCACAGGATACACATATGCCAATAAGTTACTGATCAATTCCCGTCTAACACATCAATAGGAGGATTCAGACAAACAATACAAGAATGAATTTGAGTAACACTATCTATTTGTGATGGCTGCTAATACCGAACTTGATAATGCAAGCTTTTGATTGAAATCCAAGAGTTTAAACCACTAAGGTATATTGATTTAACAAAAATAAGCAAAAGTCAAACCATGTTAGCTATTATTCAGCCTTTATATTTGAACCTGACTAATTCCTTATCAATTGATAAGTAATTCATAAAACATTCTATATATTAACGAAAATTATGATTCTGTTAGTTGGTCAATGATTTTTTGTCTCCTGAAACTTCAGTCAATCAGTTATACTGAGCAACTCTAGTCAATGTTGTTTGTGAATATACTGGAAGGGTTGGACAATACAAGACATTTACAAAGTACATGCTTATGTACTCGGCTTTAAACTATGATACTTGTATGTGACAAACAGTGATCAATAATAATAAGGTGTAGAGGGCTTGAAATCTGTGATTTATTGATCAGGTGTTTTATTTATTAAACCATTGATTCATATTACAATTTGTAATACTAAGAAAGTGTATAGGAAGTGAAATTAATCTTTTATAGACAAAATCTAGATATTTGAAAATGTTTAGATTATAATATTGGTCAGAATTAAGAATGATAGTTCATTCAATAAAACTTTCCATTTTGAAACATCCAATAATCAGTTCAAAATTATTCAATGAACTTCGATCTCCAATAACTAGTTACTATTGAAAGATAAGTCAAGAAAAAGCTTTAGTTTATATACTATTGTTATTATTACATAAATCTCTACAATATCAGCCTCATAGTAAACAATGAAGCATTAACCTTATTATAATGGTCAATCCGTTAAAAAGGGATACAGGTAATCTAGTTCAATTTACATCCAGTTAGTCAGTAACAACGTAGAACTTCGTACGTACGTATATCAGTTCGAATTGCTACACCACATTAGCACAGAGATGCAGTTGTCGATTTAAATTCCGTAGTGATAGAGGTGGTAAGAGTATATGCAGTAATCGTAAAGATTAGGGTTTGGAGATGATATTTAAAGAGTATAACCCAGTGAAATAAATTTGGAAAGAGAAAAAAAGAGACAAGGAGGATTCCGATGATTAGAATTTGGGAGAACACAAAGAGTGGATGCACCTGCGCCATTGCAAACGATTTTGAGCCATGTTATTCAGGGTCTCTAACTATCGGTTGCTATCATCTCGCAGTCCCCAACCAGGTAATCTACACCTACCAATTTAGATACTAACAATTAATAATTATTCCAAGTAAATTCCAATAGTTCATTTATAAAGAACAGCTGAAAGACGAATTCGAAGTGAGGATCGGAGTTAGACAAAGTTTTTTATTCTTCTTCTTTCTCTTTTAGTGGTTGACTGGATTATGAAGACCATCACAGCTGATGGGAAGCACGGAATTCAATGGACAGTTTGGATGCAAATGATCTAGTCTTTCTATCCGATTAACACTAACAAAAACAAGTCAAGACAACCAGTGTGGCAAAAGTTTCTGCATACACAAGGGAAAAAGCATCATCCTCAGATACAACACAAAGAACACCAACCCAATCACACTTGATGGAGAAACTCTGAAACGGGTAGAAACTTTTAAATACCTAAAAATCCTGAAGCGAAACGGAAAAGAGGAAGACTAAGGGACACATTTAGTCGAGAATTGTAAGCAACTGGAAAGGATTGTCCAAAACAGAGTTCGATAAAGTATGCTAGTGAACTCCGGAGATTTCCTTTGAAAGTAAGTCACTAATGTTCACATGATAATTAACAGTAGGATGACTTATAGAGATTACTGAATTTTTTTGAGATCATAAAAAGACTTTCCGAATCCCCATTGTTAAGGATTCCCATACTAGGACGAAACAGCTGTTCAATGATCGCAGGTTTTCAGTTGTTGTCCGGCTAGGTCAGTTCGCGATATCGAAAACCAAGACGAATGAATATAACAATCGAAATGGGAGCCCTAGATAGTGTTTATATAGGTGATTTTATATGAATAGTAATTGCACTGTGACATTTTGTTCTGCTTCATTACATACCAATAAATTAGGTCGTACCAATGCACACATGTACATACACATTATGAAATAGAGTAAGATTTCTATAGTGACTTGTCAATTAATATAACACATCGGTAGGTTGTAAGTGTTGTTTGATATCCATAATATAACGCAAAATTATTATCCTGGTGGGTGACATATGTTTTTCCAAGAGAAGTAACAGGCGTAAGTAAGTAAGCATGACAACGATAGATAATGCAATATGATTTAAGATACAGACATCTCAGAACAGAGAGAGAGGGAGGAAGAAACAGCATAAAAATCCACATGATATATAAAGTTGTCTATTGAATAATTTATTAAGGACCAAGCGTAATAATGTTATTTAACAATGACTAACCAGTAAATATAATGATACAGTACTGTAATGTGTTAAAACACTTAATATTGTGTATTCAAACCTGAACAAAGAGACCAATATGTATTGAGAAGTAAATGCACGCACACATATAATAAGTTGAACTTTTGGAACTACTAGAGCCCTTTGAATTTAGTAACATTCATCTTTAAAAGTAAATTTCTCAAGAAAAATTGTTATAATATATCTACTGAATACATACTTGTCTCGATCTGTTATTATATGAAACTAAGGATAAGTAATTATTGTATTCATCTTTTAGAAACTAAGTGTCGGTTTCGAATGCCACTCCATCTATTACAAATTTACATGTATCTGCCAAAGCAGTTACATTAGTAGAACAGAAAGGAGAGCGTACGTCCGATTCAAAGAACATATTCCGAAGAGTTTAGGATCAAAAGTACTAAAAGCATTCAGCAGTGCCATCGCAAGAAATCTTCTTGACACAGGACAAGAAGTCGATAAACTGAAGTCCTTCAAGGTAACTAACAAACAATCAAACTCAAATCTTTTGGAATTTGCCGAAGCAATAGCAATCAAACGCCTAAAACTAGATCTATGTATATAAAAAGAAAAAGTAATAAATCTTTCTTTGAGAGCCCCAAATGCCCTGATATGGCCGAGAGTAGGGAGAGTCCACTCTCCCTCTCCAAATGCTCTCACATGACTACGCGTATATAGCCTCTGCCAGGGAAGTCCTACCTACTGCCTTCTCGCTGCGTTACTGTTGTTTACGAAAATGGGAGGATGAAAAGCGAATGTCCGGAGCTTTAACCGGATTCCAAACTAATGGTGCGCATGAGCTCCAGTATTCTAAAGGAACTAATGGTGTATGAACCAATCGTTGGTCACCGGCTATCATGGGACTGCATCTCCTAACGTTGCTCCGCTGCCTTGTGAATCAGACCTTCAGATCAAAGGCTCCGGGTGTGGTCTCCTAAGAAAACCACCTGCTTCGGTTTAGGCACCCGGTCAGTATCACAGCACTCAAATATATCAAATGAGATTTGTGTGATGTATATGTATTTGGTGCCTTCTTGTACCAATATATATGTGTTAAAATAAAAATAAATAAATAAGCTTTATTTGCCATGGTAACACCACCCCCCTTATTTATTTACGTATTACGTCACTCACTAGTTCAACTCTTTCTGAATTTTTAAAATTACATCATTCATAAATGACTGATTTTAATTTATATCCTTCTTTACTACCATTAATCTATTTTCAGTTACTTCATTACATAATCATCTGGTTTTTTAATTCCATGAGTTCTAATCATTATTTCAACGCTCTGCAACCTTCCCTCCCAAACTTCATTTATTTGAAACAACATTTTATGACCTCATTAACTCTATCGGAATCTTCGCTACATCATGATACATATGTGCATCCATAACCGCCCTCTTATGCATAAGTATGTCAATATCTGTAATAACTCTGATTTTCAAATATTTTAGGTTGTAAACATCTGATGAGAACCTAACGAAATAAAATGAATCCATTTATTATTCTGCATCAATCTTTGTTCTTGCTCTCTGTCTATTACGGTTTGAACAATAAAGTACCATCCACTAACTTTCATATTTGAAGGGTAACTGAAAGCTAGTGATACAAAACTAAAAATATATAGCTCTTAACACACACACACATAACATCGGAAATTCATCAGATTCAATACATATTAAACTGTTCCATTGTCCCATATTATTTTAAAATTTCATATTAAAACAAAATATGTTTTTACTACTTTTTTAAAAAAAGAAATAGTTTTCAATGGTTCTTCAAACAAATAAACAAACAAACGAACAAAAAAAAGGAGACAGAAAAGAATGAAAAAACAAAAGATGAAACTACAGACATACTACTACAATTCGATCAATCACACTTCAATACATATAATCTCCTATACATATATTGAGAAATGATAAAAGACTACACACATAGTTTATCCCTATATACATTCCTATATCTATATATATATATATATATATAACCCATTCAATAGTCAGTCGATCAAGCCATCTTTATTTGTATTTATTCCCACATGTTTGTAGAACATGGTTTAAATTGTTGACGAAATATGTTGTTTTTTTTAAATATTTTTTAAGACAATATAATAATTAATGAATGATACAAGTAGTAGAATAAAAGTGACGGAAAAGGAGAGAATAAACTATCCTACACTTCGAATCTATGTACCCATAGATACATACAATAACCTTCTTTTTTTTCTCTATTCTATCTAAGAAAAAAATTATATGGATATATATATGTAACAAATAAGAGTTCTCATTTTATTCTGATACAGTAAAGCATTCAGTGTAACAAAATGTATTTGCACAAATGTTATCTTCTATATGATTTAGTTGTGTTTAAACGTAATATTGTGTGCATTTCTTTCTTTTTTTTAGAGAAGTTTATGACTTAGCAACTAGAAATTCAGTTAGAGTGTAATCTTTAGAACGGTAAATTAGTTTATTTAGATTTGAGGCATCAGCATTCTATGATGATTGGTTATATATATATACAGCTGACGAACAACGGTAGCTAACTAGGATGAAATATTTCTATTGGTTATATTGAATAAGCTTGCGTGCATTAACAGTAGTAATTTATAAAGACAGCTGATGAAAGAGACTAGAAATTAAAATACGAGGAGTAGACTAGAATTTATGGCCTGTTAGTAATTTTGCGTTCTCTTAGTTTCGCGTTTGATTGGAAATAAATAGTAATGATCGTATCCAGAATGATAACACAAAAATTTTCAGTGAGAAAAATAACCAACTGAGTTACAATGCTTTCCAGTATTTAAATTAAGAGTTGGAGGTAGTGTCAAAAATTCCTCACGGAATTAGTACTTTTACAAAAACAAAATTTTCATATATATATACGATTGTACAGCTTGATAATAAATTCGTTGAAAAGAGATCCCTTCTCTGAACTTCGTGTTTTAATTTTAATGTTTAAATGAGAATTATCTGTGAATAAGGTGTACCTTTAATGTTGAGGGAATTGATATTCCCTGACAGATCGGATCCCGTTCCAACCACCTCCATAGTTAGAGATGTTGCTAATGAGCAATTCGAGGCGCGACTGATCTCCTGCAGGCTTGAGATTTATTTGAAATTTATTACATGTACACCTGGTTGACGAGTGTCAAATAGTTAGAAATTTAGGTACAAGGTTTTCTGATGATTAGCTCCAATCACTAGATTAACATCTCAACATAGTGCACGTGATTTCCTGTCATTTAGTCTAATGAAAACATTGCAATTCGATAGATAGAATTCAATCTGCATTAAGGACTTGAAATAAATAACATTGACTACTACTCAGTGATCAATCTGTTGGAGTGATCCAGAAAATTGCTTGCAAAAGACAAGCAACCATCAAGAAATACTAAGAAGCGTTTCATCTAATCAGCGTTCACTTGAAGTCTTAGCCAAAAATATCAAGGAAGTGAAACGTCACATGCAGATGTTCTGATTGGTTGATTGCTACACTGCTACTATGTTTAGTAGCATTCCAGTATCTTCGAGCAACCCAAGAACATTTAAAATATTATAAAAACCCTGTATTTTCTGTATTGAGATGAACCTTGGAGTAAAGTGCTTTTCGCATACGTTGCATCTTCTCTCTCGTTGTTTAGGTCGCTGTATAGTTCTAGCTTGGGGGTTACAGAATAGCTTAGGAAACGAATATCTGCGAGACTTATCACAATCAATTGTAATCTTTTCAATATTCAGAAATCCCCATTATCGATTATGAAGGATTATCATAACGTAACATAATCAATACAATGTTACATCGTTCCTACAAGTTTATACATTAAAGTTACTATGTAAATTGATTACCAAGTACAAGTTAACTTAATCAACTAATAGTCATATCATTTGTCAGTCAGTAACAACGTAGAACTTCGTACGTACATATGACAGATATGATATGATATATCTGTCATATCATTTGTGAAAGGTCTAGAAATACTAATCAGCTGCGTATACTTGACTATATATGGAGGATCATTTGAAAATACGAGCTATTTAAGTAAAATTTCACTACATAAGCCATTGTTTAATTACTAATACCAGAAAAATAATCATAGAAACAAAATAGACTATCAAATTTAATTTCACATAATTTCAGTTATCTTATTTTTGATTGGAATTTAATTAGAGTTTTGATTGATATATATCCATTCTGTGTGTATTGCCTCAATATATCCATTATTATACATGTTTGTATAGAACAAATGAAGAGTAGCTAGCAGTTGATGAGACCCAAGTAAGACGAAATGCACACTTTGAATTCCACTACTTATCACATTTCATCTATTCTACATATATAACAAGATATTCAAAAGTAGATAAGAAAGAATATCTTGTTCACAATCTGTTCTAAGTCTACGAATAATTACTTCTCTTATTGACTCCAAATAAATGGTCATTCATACGTAATTTTCACATTTTTTCATTCGGTCCAACAGCATGATATATATATATATATATATATATATATATATATATATATATATATATATATATATATATATATATATATATATATATATGGAAGGGGAAATAACAACTAACCAGTTTTAGACATGCCAACTGCTAGACAACGTTGAAATCGACAACTTTTACACATATTTCGATTAGCTGGTGTAATTGGACAATCATTATTGCCAAGACATTCTAAACGAACATTAGATAAGACAGTTCGTCGAAAGAAACCCTAAAAATAAGAAAAAAATGTATTAGAAAAGTGGTAATGAAAATGTAGTGAAACAAACCAAGTGAAGATTATGATTCTTGTGCAAAAACAAGTATTAGACAAAATCACTATTAAGTAAGTAAAAATTTATATCAAATTGTTCATTTATGCAGAGGATTATAAAAAAAGAAATGAGAATTGAATTCAAGTATGTAAACCATTGAATTATAAATCACTAGTCTTAAACTTAAGCATTCGCCACGAAACTTGAAGGTTCTAGGTTCTATCCTTGATAAGGTCGTGAATGTGAATCATTGATGAGTTTCATGCTAAAATGAAACAGCTATCAAGTGCTTTTTGATTCTCAATGATTGCATCACTATTGACCAAAAAAACATGTATGCCATAGAGAAATTCCGAACTGATATCAAACTGTGTGACAGTTAAAAAAACATTACCGTTAAACAGAAACGATGCCTCAGTTGTTAATGTGTCTGACCTTTAGCCACTATCTCAGGTTTGAACCCTGCTCCACCAACTTGTGTTGGACTGAGAGATTTGAAATCATGATTTATTTTGTTTGATGATTAGAGGTAAATCATAAAATTATTAATTGTTATAATTCGTCCAATAGTAGTAGATATTCCACAGCATAATATTTCTCACAATTACTCATATTCGTCTTCTCATTAATATCTTATATTTTTCTAAAAAGCTCAATTACACTTATCAATAATGAACATGACGGCAGGTAAGAGCATATACTAAAGCTATTAGTCTCCAGGTAACTTACTATAAATATTTTAAAAAGAAAAAACACCTAAAACAATGATACATATATGGAGTTTAAAAAAAATTATGTAAAGCAATATCATAAGTCAAAATACAATTTGGTTATATTTGACTTGATGTTCATCGTCTTAAAAATAATTTACTAAGTATGATACTTCAATGAAAGATTTTTACTAATGTCTATATGAACAAAAACAACTACTATTGCTACTGTGAATACTTTCTAAATAGTAACAAATTCGCTAACACAACAACATCAATACTCATGACGATGACTGACGTTGGAATTGTAGATCACTAGATTCCAAACAAACAGTTTGAAGTTTAGACAGTTACCTTGAAACATGAAGGTGCTGAGATCTACATTTGCTGGGATTGTGAGTGTCCACTATTAAAGAGTACTGAACTAGAACAAATATAAACTAGCTGAAAATTGAAAGAAAGCTAAACATGAGAGATGAAAGTATGACTTAAAAATTAACAAGTATGAAAGTAGAAGAAGGAATATAAAGAATGGATGAATCTCGGCGACTGTAAAAAACCATGAGTTATGTTATGATATAATCGATTACAGTTATCCAATAGATTCGAACCAATTGATCTGAACCTTCTGTAATTTTTTCACACCAAAATTCAATAACATTCATGGAATGATACTATGTCTTGATTTACTGATTCCTAGATTTTTTAATAACCTATTCAACGTTACAACACCATGAATTATATATAGGCGTAAATAATAGTTAAACATGTGCACTACCTTGACGTGGTGGTCGGATTAGCCTATCGTAATGAACCAGTCGAGCTATGTTGGACAGGTCGGCTGAAGAGCGATAAGATTACAAGTAGCAAACCGAAGGTCTGAGGGCGAAGTCGTACCGCTGACTGTACAGAGTTGTGACGGCAGTATTGTGTTTCCTTCAGACAACCAGCTTAAACAGCGATGCTGCCTTCCCACAAAGAGGAGTGAGGTTAGAAAGGGTCGAATCTAAAAATGTATACCTCGCCTTATCCCAAGGATATCCGTCTCCGGAGGTAAGGTCTCAACAAGTACGGAGCTAAAACGAAAATTACTCACAGAAAGGTCGTGTGCGACCGACCTCAAGCAGTTGTCCCTTGGGCACTGCGCTCACGCCCTCAGGTCACTATAACCACCTTTAATCCGATTTCGTTTTCAGGTACTTCCAAAAGAACTCTTCCACGGTATTGGCAACCGGGAAGTGATAACCGCTGTCATACCTTTAACAGCACTCAAGACCACTAACTGACAACTTATCTAATATTTGAATTCGTGAGTCAATTGAAGCTAGATCACCATTGAGAACCTGGAAGTATAGGACGGCCGTTTCATCCTTGTATAGGATTCCTCAGCAGTGAGCATCCACGATCGACTCATGAACTTCACAATTAAATTACTAGGAACTCTACAAACTCTTTTTCTGATAGAATTGATTTGTTGGTTTTTCATTTCGAAAGCTTAAATATTCTTTACTAAGTAACAAAACCAATGATGCAAAACATAAATAGACAAAATAATTCTATTTAATCGTGCGTAAATTAAATAACCAAATTGATTAATTATTTCATAATGATTAAAATTTAAAAAAATAATTATGTAAGTGAGATAAGAAAAGAAAAAAGTGAACATTTTCTACTCAGGGATTATTGATGAAATTTTGTCAAGTTTGTGAATGTTCCGAGAACGATTAATAATATGTATCCGTTTCACTTCATGACCACACTACACTACACTAAAAACATTTTCATTAAGTTTGGACACATTGATTAACTTAATTCTATTGTTGAAAATTTGAGAGAAAATTCATATATTACAGTATATCACACAAATATAAGCTACAAATTATAGTAACTAGGTAACACGGATTCGAACCCCACAATTAACATTGTCTAAAAAATCATTACAAAATATATCTTCATAGAGTGATTATCAATCAACAGTAGGCGAAAAGATTTCCTTTTTAAACATCTATAATATCAGAAGGGGTTTGTGGAGATTTTTAGAAATTTGCATAGATTGAAATCATGAGTCATTTGAAGCTAGACCACCATTGAAAACCTGGAAGCACTGGACGGCCGTTTCGTCCTAGTATGGGACTCCTCAATAGTACGCATCCACGATCCCGCACCACGCGGGGCTCGAACCCAGGACCTACTGGCTTCGCGCGCGAGCACTTAACCATTAGACCACTGACCCGGCATCCAACGGTGTTAATGTCTAACTTCAACCAATCCACGAAGTTGCGCTACCGTACACCATTGTCTTCAGTGAGCTGATATCTCACAACAGACCTGGTTGTACCCCACTGGTAACGGCTTCCCACTAGAACTCCAGGAGTATCTCTTGAAGTCAGTCACTAGTGCTTCCAGGTTTTCAATGGTGGTCTAGCTTCAACTAACTTATGATTTCAATCTCTGAAAACATCTATAATAATCTAACATTAAGAAGAAAGTTCAACATGGTATAGAATCATTTAGATCTGTGAACATATACAATAATTCGATCGAGAGAAATCAATCACCATGGAGGATTAAACAACATAACATTGTTTATTATAATTAAATTATGAATTAGTATAAATCCATCAGTTGTTTGGCTTGTGAATTAATTGATATATTTTTTAAAAAAGTTCGATCATATAAAAGAAAATACAGGTACACGACAAAAATCATGTACATTGGAAAGATAGGTGTTTTACTGAACAAATTCTCAAGAACTTAAGCCTCTGAGAAAATAGTCTTTATAGTTTGATAGTATGTCACTTGCTAGACATGGAACATAAAGTGAATACAATTAATACATTCGAAGTAATTAACAAACAATCTAACTTTAAGCTAATATTAACATTTGTTGTAGCCATGGCAATTAGAAGAAATCAATCTGACATTTGTTTTAACAAAAGTCCATGATTAATCTTCATTTACCTTTGGTAACAAAGGGTGAAAGTAAATATTCTAGTCCATTTTTTTATACACACAGTTCTCTTTATCATTTTGAAAAGAACAAGAACAGACATTCTAGAAGAATAGCATGAATTCATTTTATTTCGTAGGTTCTCGTCAGCTGCTTACAACCTGTGATATTTAAAATCCATAATTACATAATGGATTTAAATTGCTTACATGAGAGAGTTTGTTTGGAAGTTATATTGAAGACATATTCATAAAGTATATCATGGGTGTAAATGAAATTAACAGGCTGAATATTGTAAATATATATATAATGTGAAAGAATATTCTACAGCATTAATTATGACAACAGTTCAGTGATGAAAACCTTAAATCTAATGTTCAACAGTAAATTCTAATCTTAATTCCTTGTATTAATTTATAACCTTCATTTAGACCTAGTATCAAATTGAATCCCGCCTAAGGTCATGTTAGCGTCGCTTATAAGTCACCTATAAAAGAAGATCCCATCTTACTGATGCATTTCATCAATTCCAAAGCATATTATTAATTCAAAATACTTAATCTTATGAGTTGGTACGTAAGTGAGGAAAATACAATGAAATACTCATTGAAATTCAACGTATTGTGATTGTTTAGTTTAAACAATTGATCATGACACTCTTCAATTTCATTGGACAATTATAATATTCGTTATTTGTTCTAACTTCAGATCCGTACTCATTATCTATACAAGGTCATGATATTTATCAGTTCAATCCTAATGAATTCATTCATAACGAAAGTACATCTAACCACCATAATTTATGTAGAAAAAATCTTTCGCCTAGGTCAAGGTTATGTCAATTATCTAGTCTCTTTGTCTATCAGAACAATGAAAATCTACTCCACATTTTTCACAATGAGTTCATTTATTGACCCAGATAATAAGACAAATTGATGATAAACAACGACTATAAAACATTTAAAGACATACACAAAACATATAACCATACAAAGACACAGTTAAGTCATAAAAAGGTCATCATCAAAACACAAAGGTCATGTTTTTGCACTAGAAACGACCTTAAGAAAAAAACCATTAGTACATAAAGGATAAAAATTGAATATAAAAGTTCATTTGATGGAAAACAACAACTTATAACCAGGAAATACACGACAGTTGTTTCGTTCCTATATGAGATTACTCAGAAGAGTAAATTGATGACCTTGAAGAATTGTAACCTTTAAACCACTGAGTCGGCATTCGATGGTTTAAATAAATAACTTCAAATAATTCATCTAACTGATCAGCCATCTTCCAATATCCTTTGTGGGTGAAACACTCCATTTTAACTATAATTATTGAGTAAAATAGTGCCCAAACTATTTCAAACAACAGTCATAATAATAAAAATAGTAATCATGATAATAATACTTGACAGACATCGATTCTCACCTTGCAGCCTTCACATGTTAATGCACCAAAATGAAAACCGGAAGATGGACCACTGCATACACGACACGGTATTTGGGAAATATCACAGCCAGCTTCACCACCGGGAGCTGTAAATAATATCATAGAGTAAAATTAGAAAAAAGAAACAAAAGTGTAAGGATTCCGAAATAGGAAAGAACATTGATAAAAATTTCATTATCGAAATAAAAGAACCCACAACTGTTGACGTTAAATCATAACTATTAAGTAAGATTCTAATATAGAACAAATCTATTAATCAAATATAATTCCATGAGAAAAACTAGTATTACATGACGAATAAAACCATATCATAATGCTTTCATATGGTTCAACGTGAAACTGACTAATATAACTCTATTGGGCAACAATATAAAATAACATAATCCAAAGTTCCGTGGATTCCTAATAAGATGAATCAATAATTGGTGATAAGAAGAGCAAAATTCTGTCTACAATGAGTAAATTTAATGCACAAACATTCAGAAAGGATCGAAATAAAGTAACGCTAATGAAAAGAAAAGGAAAAAGATTAAATATTGAAAGAATGCAAACGTTCATCATATTTAACACATAACATTGTCAACTTCATTAATCCCATGCCTTATTTTAGGTCTTTGTAAAATATCATAATTATGGACTTATAACTGCAGAGGCTAATGATGAAGTTATTGAAAACAATTGTTTGCTCAAATGTTCTTCATTATTGAGAGAATGATTTGAAAAGAAAGAATTAAAATAGATGTATGAAGGAATAACAGAATTCAATATCTAGATAAAGGTAAGGAATGAGTGCATTCATATCAATGCAGTCAATTGTAAAACACATCATCTAATGTTTCAAACCACTTAGTGTAGTACTCATGAATAAAACAATCAGGTAGTCTTCTTTTCTTAACATACCTTAGACCAATAATCAGTGGCTTCAAGGTAAATAATACCACATTTTGTTAAGGTTGACCCTAAGTTTTTTCCAACGTATTCCGACATCAATCAACCAACACTGCCCGTAGAAGAGGTAATGGTTAGGAACACGTAGTATATGTACTAACTACCTCAGTATGAGTCTTTCGATTTATTACCCCATCAGCCGGATTGACATCTTTTCTAAAAATACCATTTGAATAATCTCAGCATTATTGATTCAAAAATTTCACAATACCCAAAGAATGTTTCGAAGACACCTGTAATCAAATGCATGCAGCCTAAGTATATCTAATTTTATAGGGCATACTTTACAATCATAGAGTACCATAAATGATCCGAATCGGAAAGCGTTAATCGAAGCTCTTTGAATTAGTGTCAAACATCAACCCAGAAGAGCTGATTAATCATCTAAGATGAAAATAAAAGCTGAAGTATACTTAAATCTGGAATTACAAAACACAATGTCTTTGTATGATAGTTAATAAAGTTGAATAGATCCGAATTCAAATAAACACAGCATTTCAACTAAATAATTCAATAAAGACATGTATATTGCATGACTTTAGAACTGATACACAATCTTTTCATCAAGGTTTACTACTGGACCTGTATAAAACGAAACAACATACATTTATTGAATACTTCATATTTCTATCAGTTAATATCAATCAACCTATGATTAAATAATCAATCAATCACTCAAAATAAACTAAAAACAACATATATTGTAATGTATGTGTGGTGTATGTCACTTGTGTTGAGAAATACAAGTAATAAGTAACATCAATCAGAAGGGGAATATCTCGCAACAGAAAGTTGAGAAGATCAAATTGACGTAAACAAAAAAGAATGTAAACAGAGAGTAATTGTAATAAATAACAGGAATGAAGGAACGATAAAGTTTATAAGATGGAATTGATGGAACATGTAGTGTCAGTTATTATGACAAGCCCATATACCTTATTCTACATCCTATTTTATTTATTTTTCTTGAGCCATATTTTGACCTTGTCAATTATTCGCTTGTCAGTCTTGATTGTTTTTATATGAGCGTATATGTGTGTACACTTCATGTTCCATGACTCATCACATGTCTGTTGTTTATTTTGTCTGACTATAAATATTGAGTAATGCCTGACTTGAAATGGAGTTGGCTTCCCAGCCATCTTCCCTGCGCGTCATTTTGCTCTGTTCTATTACATTCACTTTACATACAAAATATATGTATTCAAAGGCCATTCTCGTTAATTGACTTATCTAAATTCCGTTATTGACTAACGTGATTTAAGTCGACGATGATATACGAGAATAAGCGATAACAATCATCCGTACGATCTAATTGGAGTCAGATCCATGGGCCACTAAAAACATGTGCAAATTGGAGATATTCAGTAATGTTGCATTAAACAATCAATTGATTGTCCTTATCAAGTCTTCGTTCAACACATATGTACTAATCTTATTGTGTACAAAATGTGTATATAACTAATGTTTTACATAATATTTAACAATTGACTAAATGAAGAAAGGATAATTTAAATGAGGAAACGTGCATGCTACATTACATTGTTTTTAAAAATGATTATGACTTAACCGTCGTATTAAAATGATTTCGTACAGGATATAAATATGCTAACATAGACTGATAGATAACAGAACTAAACATCAATAGGATAATTTAAACAAGCAATACTTATTTGTTCATTTATTTAAACATGTAAACATTGGTACAAGGAGGTACCAAATATATATGCGCCACACTTCTTTATTCGATTTTTGTGAGGGTTGGAATATTGCCCGGATGCTCATACCGAAGCAGGGAAGTACTGAGTTGTGATTATATTACAGTCTATTTAACCAAGTTTAACCAAGGAATGCATAAAAACTAGTACGATGTAGTTTTTAAAAAAATAGAATAATTTAATTATTGACCCAATTCAATAAGTAACCTCATAAGTTCGTGTAAAATGCTTCAAATCAAACTTATTATACGAGATATGAACAAAAGAAAGGAATTCAAACTTGAAACCTCTAATTAGATGGGAACTGAAGACATAATAAATCAACTAGGTAGTAATTTTATTCAAATAAATGAATAATTGTTTCTCGGTTAATTTGAGTAGTGAACTGATAATTTAGTCCTTCAACATTCATGAATTAAGATACACGATTAAACTTTACTATATATATATATATACTGTAATTTGTGTAACCACTTTGTATTAGAAACAAGAACTTGAAAGTGGTTACTAAAGTGAAAAAAGTGAGGTAACTCATTTATGAACCCAGCTTTAAACTATACTTTGATTGTCTAATAGCTAGCAATACTATTAGCCAGATGATTAAGCAGAAACAAGTAGTTTAAACGAGTTTCGGACCTGTGATCTACTTGTCGAAAGCCAAGCGTCTTAAACCACTACGTTATGATTTTACATTCAAGACAAAACATAAGAAAAAACTAATACAAACATGTTTTATAGAATGTTTTTCACATGTGAATGAGCCAGTCATTAGTGAATAAACATTGTCTTTCCACGCGATGATGGTTGGATGTAGACGAAAGGAAAACCCTAGACCTAGGTTTCTTGCTATTTAGCACTCGTCAGTAGGGTGTACTTTTAATCTTGAGGGAACTGATGTTCCCTGATGGATTGGATGCCGTACCACTCAGCTTCACAGTCAGGGACGTTGCCACTGAGCTATTCGAGCTGCGACTGACCTCCTACAGGACTGAGATGTTGCACTAAGAAGGATCTGACAAACATGACATTGATTACTACCCAGTGATTAATCAATTATAAGTTGTCTTTCCATGGATTAGGGTTGTGAAAAATTAGAAAATAGTAATGACTAAGCAACAAGACAATACTGAATTTGTAATTTGTAATAACCTAACTATTTTATGAAGAGTAATTTTAAACATTCAAATATTACTTTTTATATAAATTAACTTATAATTATTATGTAATATTAATAGTGTGTTGTGATTATATGAATGTCTATTTATCCAAGTTTAATCCAAATCTACTATTAACTAAAAGCTTTGGTGAGACTATAAGTTATGGACGACCTTTGAGTAACGCTAGGGTGACCTTGAGAATGTCCACCTAGTAACCAGGAGTAGATGAAGGTTAGAAACTAGCGTGAGGAATTAAAACTATGATTTGCAGTTGATGATTAAGGGTAAGAATTAGATTTGGAGTTATCATCACGAACTGACATTAGCTAAAATGCCAAAACGCTATTTAGCCAAATGGATGAACGAATCTAAGACCTATTATCTTGTGTCTGATTGATTCATCTATAAATTATAGTCACGCCGACCTTTTTTTCAAATTATTTTTATCACTACTAGTACACTAGTCTTTTTATTATCAATTTGTACTTTCTACCCATTATGTAATATTCTGAGATCGATTTCATTGTGATCATTAACTCAGATATTGACTTGATTGGTTTAGTATATTGATGTACCCGTGTAAATATTCATGTAGATTAGAATAAAGCCTGATGAAGATCTAATTGCGAAAAAAAACAATATTGTTCGCTTATATACATTTCGTTCTGATTATCATAATGGGAATCTTTAATATTCTAATTAAGAATAATTATTTTTAATTCATTCAATAAATACCGATAATGATGTATTCAATTGTAAAGTTTAAGTCTTACAACCGTTTGGCTGTTCAAATCAGATTTTAGATATTGTATGCTTAGAAAAATTTCACATTAAATTATGTATCTTCATCATGTATTCACAACCTGGTTATAAATATATAATGAAGTATCTCGCGAGGTATGATCGTGGATGTGCACCGCTGAGGAGTTCAACAATAGGACGAAACGGCCATCCAGTAATTCCAGGTTTTCCATGGTGGTCTAGCTTCAACTGACTCATGATCTTAACCATTGAAATTATTTTATTATTATTTAATAAAAGAACAATTATTTAAAAAAAAACCTGTAGCCTCAGGTATCCTGGTGACATCTTAACAACAATGAATTAATCCATTTACAATGTTTACAAATGTCTCATTACACGTATTATCATTATATTTGAAGAAAAAAACAACTTAAATACACTGGTTCACATGTATTTTATATGAGTGAGTGAGTGAGTGTGTGTACATAATTAAAACCAAAGAACCGGCATCAATGTAAA